TAAGGCAAGAATTTCTTACTACCTGGATTGCAGAATATGCGGTGTATTCATGGAGCCAATACCTTCAGTGAAGTCTTCTTGATTCCACCACCTTCCTCATGAAAGCAGAAGAATCGACTCTCTTAGTTGGCCTGTTTTTCAGTGTTGTTGTGAGAGTCATTCCCAGTACTTGAAACATATCATCCAACCTTTCAACTACTTTTAAGCACATGTTTACAAAGTTTCTGCTCAATACAATTAATGGGGTGTCTACTCATAAAGAAAAATCCCAGTCAGGTACACTATTTGATACCAGAACTGATCACAATAAAGAGACCTTTCAAGGTAGAAATATGGGAATTGATATCTTAACAAGATGGATTGACACAGTGGCTGCAACTATGGGTTCAAGCATAACAAAGAATATGAGGATGGTGCAGGACTGGGCAGTGTTTTGTTCTGTTGTACATAGGGTCGTTATGAGTCAAAACTGACTCAACAGCACCTAACAACACAACATCTCAACTTGTTAGGTTTAAGGGCAACAATGATGTTGGTTAATGGTATTCTGGTAGTCCATGAAAAAGAGTACCAAATCTGTTTCACCATGAGTGATCTGCCTATTGAACAAATATTTGGCAGACTGGCTTATGTGATAAAAAATACTTTGTTGGAAATCAGAATTCAAGGAATGTGGAGTGGGCTGATAGAGCTTTTGAGCACATGAGGTATCTTTCAGAAAAAACATAACAAGCTCAGGATTTTAAATGATCAGATCGTGGCACAATCAAAGAACCAGAAACATTTCCAGGATTGCAATAAATCAAATCTTTCATTTCTCAAGACTGCAGCTCTGATGTAGGTATGACTCAAAAAAAGTCTGATCCTGAGGGTTGATGAATTATAAGGTAAGTTGACTTCACAATCTTGTCAAAAGTCTTAAGTAAAATTTAAGGAATTATATACAAAGAGACACATGAGAAAAGTAATGAGTACAAGTGAGAGTGTCTGGATGAATCATAAGATTCTGATTCTCCAAACTATCCAGAGATATCAGTGCTCCCCTAAACTTTGCCTAAAGCCCTAAAATGACTTAACCTAATGAATATTTACCTTGCAAGAGGATTCCAACTCATTTCATGCCTCATCTCTTCCCCTTCTCTTTAACTCCAGAATAAGATCTACAGTCGGATCCCAGGATGTCACAGAGAGAAAAATGCAAAGACTGAATAAAAAGGAGAAGGTTAAAGTATCAAAATAATTGTGAGATCTTTCTAACTATTATTATTAAAAACTTGGGGAATATATTTCAGAATGAATTCTATAAGTACCAGTCAATGGAAGAAGGAAGAGTTTTAGAGTAAGCCAAATACAGTAATTAAAATAAAGTGCTGTTGAGTCAATTCTGACTCATAGCGACAGGTAGAATTGCCCTATAGGGTTTCCAAGGCCATAATCTTTATGCAAGTAGACTGTTACATCTTTTTCCCATGGAGCTGCTGGTGGGTTCCAACCCCTGACCTTTTGGTTAGTAGCCGGGTACTTAACCACTGTGCCACCAGGGCTCCTTAATATAGTGATATAAGAAATTCTGGATTCAACATGCCAGTTTGAGCAAATGGGCATAGTTCTAATTTTTTCATCAGTTTACTGAAGCTTAGATTCACCACTGGTCTGCTCTAAAAGAAGTTCAATGCCATAAACTCCTTACTATAATATATAAGAAAGAATTTAAATTGCAGAGAGACAGGGATGTTTTGATGGATTTATAATATGTGACTCAGTCATTCAACCCCCAAGTATGCTGTAGGGAAAGTTCGGAGGCTGTTACATCCACCAGGCCATTAGAAATACATTGTGCGGAGGGGGATAGCTTCCTTGGAAAGCTCTGTAGTGGTTGTCCTCTGTATGACAGAACTAAAATGGGAGACGCTGAAATTGAAATGGGTGCCTCCTGAGTTCAGTGGGGATAATGACATCCTGAACTGGCGTCACTAAACCACTACAGGTTTGGTATTCTTAGTTAATGTAACAAGCAGCAGGGCCATTTTTTCCAAATAGATTAAACCACAGGGATCTTTTAGAAATGCAATTTCACCATGTTATCTCCATTAATAAACAACATATGTATTCTATTAAGGTCCTATCCAATCCACGTAACTAAAAATACTCTAGTTCCAGTGAAAAGAAGTTAGACTTGAGTCACCAAAAAGAAATATCTCTCACTTGATTCTCAGACCTGAAACTGTTAACTGACCTAGACCCTCAAATGATGAGCCCTTGAAGTTGGACTATAAAACTGCCACAGATTTATGCTACACATTTTCCTTCTAACCTTACTCCTAATAGATCATAAGGGTCAATTGTGTACATTTTTTCCAACTCCTTCAATGATATCACGTTTGTAGCTTGAAACTAGCCATGTAAAGTGGAAAATGCTACCAAGAATCATGTTTCTTCCTTCCTTCTTTTCTCTCTTTTCCTTCCTTCCTTCCTTTCTCTTTTCCATCTTTCTCTTTCATTCCTTCCTTCTTACCTTCCTTCTTTCCTGCCTTCCTCTCTTACCTTTTTTGAGAGAGAGATCCAGTTAAACATTTATCAGAATATTGCTGTTGTGAGAAGTCGTTGAGTCGGTTCCAACTCATAGCGACCATGTGCACAACAGAACAAAACACTGCCCCGTCCTGCACCATTCTCATAATCACTGCTATGCTTCAGCTCATTGTTGCAGTCGCTGTGTCAATCCATCTCATTGAGGGTCTTCCTCTTTTTCTTTTTTTTTTTAATATTTTATTGTACTTCAGGTGAAGGCTTACAGAACAAATAGTTTCTCATGTAACAGTAGCACACATGCTGTTTTAT